GGATGTCATACCAAAGTACCGTGGGAAATAGCGACGAAACGAGCGGTGATCAGTGTGCGTACGGACAATGCGTGCTTCGCATGATGATCGTCGCGCTATACCCGGCTGAAAAGTATACGGATCGTCGTATCCGCATACGACAGTATTGAATCTCACAAACATTGAGTTCCCAATAACTTTAAAAGACATTTCTAAATTCGAATGGTTAAACGCGATGTCGATTAACGTGTATGGCATCGAGAATAAACAGGTTCTTCTTCTGCGACTCATCAATGAAAAGAAGGAGAAACATGTCAACGTGCAAGATCCACGCAACGATGGTGTTGGACATTTTACGTGGATAAAAAATCTATCTCGTCTCGTGAGCTCGCAGATTAGTGGGAAAAAGAACAAGAAATTTTTCTGCGATCGGTAAGTATACATGAAAAAATTATTATAATTTTCCGTCTTACTAATAAAATAATTGTAATAGTTATAATTTTTTTTTTCAAATGCTTGCACTACTTCAGTACGAACGAAAAATTGCAGTCGCACGTAACTGCGAGAAGATCAACGACTTCGTTATCTGACTGCCGAGACTGTAAACGACAAGTGGCTCGAATTTGAGAACCACTGCAATAAGCAGCGCGTTCCATTCATCGTCTACGTTGACTTGAAGTGCGTTCTACGGGAGATGGAACTTGACAAGGAAGATGCGTCGTCGTATACATATCAATGGCATGAGATATTTAATATAGGATACAACGTGCGATGTTCGTACAATGCCGCGTTATCGTCATATAGGTTCCGTCGCGATGAAGACTATAGCGTGGTTCGCGCGACAACTCAACGATTTGGCGCATCAAATGAAAAATATCATATTCGCCAACGTGCCCATGGAAACGTTTAACAAAAAAAAATAAATCTAAAAAATCAAATTTCTAAATGCAAGCCTCAATAAATTGGTGTCGTTCTTTCTAAGCATAGACAAATTAAAAATTGTACGTTTCAAATTTTCAACACTATCGGATGAAGAATTTGAATTTCTGACTCGTAAAGGTGTCTTTCCGTACGAGTACGTTGACTCCGTCGAAAAATTGCACGCGCTTGCCACTGCGCGAATCATTTTTCAGTTCGTTAACGGGCGATACAGTATCCGAAAGCGATTATGCTCACGCCGCGAACGTCAGGAAGCAACTCTCCATTCAAACGCTCGACGAGTACAGTAATCTGTACTTAAAAACCGATGTCTTGTTATTGGCCGACATTTTCGAAAATGTCCGCGAAAGTTGTGTCGCGAGTTACGGTATCCCACGCATTACTATACATTGCCTGGTTTCACGTGGGAAACCGGTGAGGATGGACGGCAAGAGAGAAACTAATAAAGCGAAAGATGTAAAGAGTAACATAGCGCGAACGATAACATTCGACGATTACACGTGATGTTTGAATGAAGAGATCGAAATGACTCATTGTCAATCGTGTATACGATCTAAACTGTACGATGTGTACACGATATCAGAATCGAAAATCGCTCTGAGTCCATACGACGACAAACGATACGTCATACCGGACTCGACGGAGATGATACCGTGGGGGCATTGGCGGATACCTTTGTAATATATATATATATATATATATACAAGGTGCGTCCCAAAATTTTCCGAACTTTTGAAATAAAACAACAACGGTTTACTTTTTTTTTCAAATTCAAATTGTTTATTCAAAGTAGTCCCCGTCGGACTCAATACAACGTTTGGCACGATCTAAAAGCATTTCAAATGAGTGTTTTATGTCGTTCAAAGGCACGTCCTTCAGAATAGTGGTACAAGCCCTTTGGATGTCTTCTACGTCCACATACCGCTTTCCTTTCATGGACAAATGCATTTTGCCGAATAGGTAGAAGTCACAAGGTGCCATATCAGGCGAATACGGGGAATGGTTGATTGTTAAAATGTGATTTTTAGTCAAAAAATCAGTGACAAGTGTCGAACGGTGAGATGGCGCATTATCGTGTAACAAGCGCCAACTTCCTCCTTCGCGATATTCTGGCCGAATACGACGAATGCGGTGCACCAAACGCTTCAAAACGCTTACATAGAATACAGCATTAACTGTTTGGCCTGCTGGAACGAATTCTTTGTGCACAATACCCTTGGAATCATAAAAACAAATGAGCATTGTCTTCACTTTTGACTTCTCTAAACGCGATTTTTTGGGTTTTGGGTCGTTTCGCGCCTTCCATTCCGCGCTTTGACGCTTGGTTTCTGGATCGTATTGAAAACACCACGTCTCGTCACCAGTAACAATGCTATAAAGGAAGTTTTGGTCCTTTTTTGCTTCCTTAATAATGTCCTTTGAATGTTGAATTCGATGCATTTTTTGGTCGTCAGTCAACTTGTGTGGAACAAATCGTGCACAGACTTTTTGTAGGCCCAAATGTTCGGTCAAAATGCGATAAATCGTTGATTTGGGGATGTTCAATTCCATTTCCATGTATCTCACTGAAGATTTTGGCTCATGCTTGATGAAATTACGCACAACTTCGATGGAATTTTCGTTAATTGTCGATTTTGGGCGACCTGTATGTGCGTCGTCATTTATGTCCTCACGACCGTTCTTGAATCGCGTATACCACTCATAAACACTGGCACGGGCTACACAATTATCACCATAAACTTGTTTCTATATATATATATATGTGTGTGTATCAATTCATTAATTATTAAAACATTTATAGTTATAAAATAATAAGGCTCAATAAATCAAAATAAGTAAAAGTAAAAAGGGCTACGAGCCTAAAACATAAATTGACAAACAGTATGAGTAGTTAAAAAAGTTTTTTGAAATAAAACTATGTCATAAATTAAAAACGTAAAATATAATTTGACAATCAGAAGGTGAACAAACGTTTCGATCCTAGTTGGATCATTTTCA